CTCTTCCATCCCTTTTCACCGTCCCGTCGCTCGCTCGCGTGTATGCGTACCCGTCCTATTTCAACTACTCCTACACCTTCTACTCCTACTACTCCTCTCGCGTACGTACCACCTCCTCCCTCCACCTTCTTCTCCTCATCCTACTACTCCCGTTCCGAATCGACTACGCGCGTCTATCCATCTTCTTCCTCCTCCTCCTCCTCCGCGCCCGCCCGCCCGCCCGCCCATCCGCCCGTTCCAAACTTTTCTTTCTCTCTACACCCTCGCTTTCTCTCTCCCCCCCCCCCCCGCTCCTACGCCCCCCTCCACGTATCTCTCTCTCTCATTCTCCTTCCGCCCTGCACTCACCCTTACCACCAGGCTTCACATTCCTGCCCCCGTACCCTACCCAATAACCGTGTGCACCCGTGACTGTTCCCGTTCCCGTTCCCGTTCCCAATCCCGGTTTTTTCTCGTTCTCTACGACTCCTATCTGGCCGACGCAAGACGATCCTATTCCATCTTTCCTACTCGTACTCGTTTCAATCGCTCGTTTGTATTTTCATTTTTCGCTCGTCTTCCTTATCATTCGGTTCGTCGACGAAGACGGACGCGCGACAATCTCAGAGCTCTCCTCCGCTGCATGACTCCCACGCGCGTCTCTCCACGCCCCAACAACCACCGGTCTGTCTTCTCTACTACACCTGCTCTCTCTCTCTCTCTCTCTCTCTCCCCCTCATCTCCCTCGTCGATTAACGTCCTCAACATTTGCCGTTTAATCGCGGCCAAGGAGTGTGTAGAGACTCCGTTGTCCTGTCGACGAGAGCCGCTCTCGCAACTTTCCGCCTTTAAGCTCTAAGTAAATAGCGTTTCGGTAGAATACAGATCGTCACTTACTTGATCAGCCATGGCGTAGTTGTTGTGATGGTAGGACGTGGAATGATGATGCTGCGGAACGTTCAAGGAAAAGTCCAGACTCTCGTTCCTCTGAAACAAGCGAAACAACATTCGTTCAACGACAACTCGTCACTCGTCAAATTCACATTCGTTCTTTCTCTCCCTCTCTCGATCCCTTTCCCGATCATTGTCTCGCGCCAGGATCGCGATTCCATTTCCAAAATCGATCCGCAAGGATATCCCAGCGCACGATATCCGCAATTTGTCAACCTTTTCCGCGACGGGACACGCGCGCGTTCTACCTTTCTACCTTTCTTCCTTCCTTCCTTCCTTCCTTCCT